TTAGGCTCGGCATCCTAAAAAAAAAAAAAAGTAGATCTTTCGCTAATACGAAATAATGTTTTTTGAAAACTAATTATTAGGGGTGAGCGTGGGTCGGTACGGTTCGGAGATTGATAAATCTCCAGAACCGTACCAAACTTCGGAGATCCCAAAATTCGATCTCCAGAACCGTACCAAAAAGTCGGTTCGGTTCGGAGATTTTTATTTTTCGGTTCGGTTCGGTTCGGTATTCGGGACTATTGGGACGGTTCGGTTCGGTATGGTTTGGTTCGGATCTTCGAAGATTTTTTATTTTTTTTAGATTATTTTTTAATGACTACCTAGTTATATTTCAATTTTTATATGCTTTAAAAAACAACCTTCATCAAGAATTCATTATATTGAAGATTTTATTTTGAAATCAATTCTAAAAGTAACTCTAAATTTTAGTATTTAATTTTTATATGCTTTAATAAAACCAACATTCATCACTACTTCCTCACATTAAAGATTTTATTTTGAAATCAACTTTATAAGTAACTCTAAGTTTTAGTTATAACTAAATTTTGTGCAACTAATATTGAAAATTTAACATTCAAATAAAACATAATATTTTTTTCTTAAAAAAATATTTTTTAAACTTTCATATTATTTTAAATAATTATTTTATAATAGAAAAAATTCAATTGTAGATCAAATATTACTAAGAATGAAATTTAAGTGAATGTTAATATTTATTACTATATTATATAGAATCAAAGTTGACATAAAATATATTAGTAACACATTTAATGTTAGAATTCGGTTCTTAATCTCGGTTCTTCGGTTCGATACAGTACGGTACGGTTCGGTTCGGTTCTCGGTACGGATATTTGTGAAATCTCCAGAACCGTACCAATTATTTTTTTGGTTCGGTTCGGTTCGGAGAAAGCCAAACGGTCAACGGTTATTTTTCGGTTCGGAGTGATTTTGGTTCGGTTTTCGGAACGGTTCGGAATTCTCCAAGTCCCATACTCAGCCCTACTAATTATTCTGATAATACAAAATGATTGTAAGCTATCATGTTTTTAGGAACTCATTTCTCTACAAAATATAATTTAAAGTCCACATAAATAAACACGGTCATGTTTTTAACTAATTTAATAGGAAGCTAATCCATGATTCATATACCCAAAAAGAAAAATAAAAAAAGTATTGGCTTCATCATTGTAACACCCCGAGTTTTATTAATAAAGGAAAATACTAGCTTTTAGTTTTAAGCTAGCCTTTGTTAATAAATAGTTATGTTCATGTTCAAGATCAAGAAATTCAGTCAATCAGATTCTAAGTTCGACTATTAGTCGATATATTATTCGGTTGGTAACCGAATAAGTTTTCAGATTTAATTCCGATTCATTTACTTAGTTAATGAGTCTGGAATTAATAAGCCAAGTCGACGAACTATCCGAAATATTAATGTTCGGATTAATCGTCTAAGTCAAGGATATTCGAATTAACTTTCGAATATCATAATCATGTTCGGAATAATATTCCGATAGTTAATCCAGTTTAAGTTCTTCACATCAAGTTCGGTTTACCTATACTGTGATGCATACACATTGGTACACCGTCCATTGTTAATTAAGTAATGGTCATTAGCCGTGCTTAATTAACTTAATCACGGTTAAAGCTAATTAATTGAGATTAGCTTAAGATAATCATGATTAGCTTAATGTTAATTAAGATTAATTAACATTAATGAGGATTAATTAAGGGATAATCATG